CTGCAACCAGCAAAGTGTTGAACTAGCGCTGCCATTTCGTGTCGTACCCCTTTTTTCCATTTTGTTTGGAGGGTTCTCCACCAAAATCGGTCAACTGTAAACAACAACTCCGGTCCCGGTTTCCCTTTTCGAGCACGCGGCGCAACTTGACAAAGGCCCCCATTTGTTCGGACGCGTCAGGGAACGAATTCGCTTTCGAGGCGCTTGAAGGTTGAGCTGCCGCCCACGCTGCTCTTCGACCATCCCACTATCAATGACTGGGGCTCAAGGGGCTGTGGGGGGGGGCGTCGTTTGGCTTAGGTGGATGGTCAACCCAAGGTTGATTACCCCAAGGTAGATGTAAGCCCAACTGCAAGTGGTAGATTTGATCACACGTGGAAACTGCAAAAGAGCGTGTCTTGATGAAACCGCTTTGGCTTTGAACAAGCATGTCTAAGCCCAGGATGGGATAGGATCATGCCAGTTGAAGCCCAGATTCCCAAGTGGCACGTTTCCGCCAAAAGTGAGGCAAGCTTCGATCTGTTGATTTGGCAGTTGTTTCTAAACACAACTCAGATACGGTGCTTCCTGAATGGCATTGAGGCCTTTTGGCCAATTCGTGTCATGCCATTTTGTTTGAATAGAGTGTTTTCGCCTGAGAAGACGGTTAAGAGGCATGGACGTATGGTCCGTGCAAAACAGGTTTATGCATACCCTCCCCCACTAACATGAGCACGGAATCTGACTGATAGCAAATGGAAGACCGTCTTCCTCTTGAGTTCTCTCAGAGGCTCCATGCTCATTTCACGGCATTGTACCGATTTTAGGGTGTGTCCGGGCGGCTATGCAAGGACCGGGAGTTCCGAGCTGTGCGATTTTCCGAGGGTACTTATGGCTTGGCTCCAAACCCAGCATTTGGATCAACCATACAGCGCAGTCGGGAGGACATGGTGGACAACGGCATCGCGCTGCTGTCCAAGCGCCCGATGACGCCGGTGGGGGCCGATGCCATGGCTGGCCCGGCCCACCCACCTGCTGCTCAACATGCTGCTGGGATGGTAATTTTGAGAGCCCGGAATGGTCACCTCTGTTTGGTACCCATTCAACTAGGTTATCCCTATGCTTGCAACAGAACAAACCCTAGTTATATACCTCAAGTATAGCCACGGTTATAACCTACTTGCCAAGTGGGTTGACCTTCCAAGTCCCGCCGGCCTCCTCAGCATCCCCTGCATCGGACGCAGGCCCGAAAAAAACATTTGGACCCCAATGCATCCCCGACATCCCCGGCGCTCCTGATGCCCTTCTGCCCAACCTTCAAAAAACACCGTGAATACTGCGCAACTCGCCCCAGCAAGCATCCCTGCCGACATCCCCTACATCCTCGCCAACTTCATTCCTGCATCGTCAGCAACCGGGTTTTCCAGCATCCCAGCATCTCCGGCATTGTGCCAACCTACCCCTGGGAGTAGGTTCGGCAGAAAGCGGACATCGCAGGGATGCCTGCGATCAAGCAAGTGGGGTTTCCGCGAAAGCGGCGCCGTCACCATTATGGGGAACAGGGGATGCGGTCTTGGTCTGATTTGCCTTTGGTGCGTGCGGGCGTGCGGCGGCGCCTGTACGTTGGCACATGGGGGTCGAGGTGGGAACACTGTACAGCAGCAATGGTGCACGCGCAGTGCGCTGTGTGGGGGTGGGCATGAGGGGGGCAAGTGACGCCGCGTTTCCAAGACATGGGCGCCTCCGACCAAGCAACAGCTGGTGTAGGTCAACCGAAACAGCCGATAAACATGATTTCAATCAGTGTTTTGCCATTTGGAGTTGTTTGTAGGGAAGCAAAAAGGAGAACCACCGAGTTTGGGAGTTCCATGTCCCATTTAAAGACAACCCACGCAGGTTCCTTTGGTCAGATTTTGCCTGACCGGAAGGTGGGGGTTGCAGTCATCAGAAGCCTGTTGCTGCTGATAGTGGCCCAACATTGACTTGACTGATTGATGGTCTTCGAGCATTTGCAGCTGGTCATGTGCAATTACCATGCCAAACTTCGTCTGAGTTTGATGCGTTGGTTCATGGTGGGCTGAGGTGATCGTCTCGACTTCGTGCCATTTTCCAGGCGGTGCTGACAGCTGCTGAGCCGAATGATGACCTCTGCCCACGAACAACCACGGAGATGTGCAGACCCTCTTTTGCAGACTGCCACCCTTTTGAAAAGGATGCGGCAAACCACGTTTGTTTGTGAGAGTAATTTCAGAATGCTTGTGAATCCTTGTCGGAGGCAGGCAGGCATTGCTCCCTGCTGTGGATGCGTCTACCCGACTTGGGTCATTTGAGGGACACTTTCTGGCCCGAGAGACTGAGGCTTGAAGCACTATTGGGACCTTCTTGCAGCCAAACAGGATGCTGTAAAGGAGGTGCCCTTGGCGCGTTCCTTGGCAGCGGCTTCCTCGGGAACTGCGAATTTGGTGCGATCCGAGGTGAGTCAAGATGGAAGAAACTACACGACCTAAGGATTGTCTTTCGCGAGCTCCTTTCTTGGCGGTCCCTTATTGGTGAAGTATGATGTAGCTCACCCAGCCGAACACTGGGTTGGGACTGGGGCCCCAAGAGCACTCAAAGCGTTGTGCCAATTCGTCTCTGGAGCCAATTCCCTTTCTTCAATCTTTGTCCAGGTCCCAAAAGGCAAAGCTTCTACTTCCAGGCGAACCCTTTGGGCAGGTGAGACCATGGTCTCACGGTTTTTGTTGGGCGGATCAACCAGCTCTCTCTCTCGCCAGAGGTTGGGACCACGAGCTCTACTATTCCAAGGAGCCTCAGAAAGGGAAGACCTATGCTCGGCACGGGGGCTTCGTTGAGGCGCGGAGTTCGGCGTGTAAGGACCCAGCCGAATGGCGAACCCTCCTGCTAGACTCTTGTTCCCGTTAGGTCCTGGTTGTGTTCCTGCCAAAACGCACTTTCTCTGTACTTTTAATTGTCAACACCGTTCCGCAGGGCTCGCAGAAGAGTCTAAGAGGCTCGGGTGTCCGGGCTTTCGATGCTTCACGAGACTTGGGGGCCAGGTGGAGAAGGGCCCCCAAAGGCCCCAAAGGCCCCCCAAAGGCCCCCCAAAGGCCCCCCAAAGGCCCCCCAAAAACCCCCCAAAGGCCCCCCAATCCAGGGTCCTATGAGAGAACGCGATCCCTTGCTCAAAACCCCCCTATTTTTCTTTGGGTGATGTTCACAGGTCTCAAACAATTCAGACTTGCACCCCAAGATGGCTGGCTTTGTTTGGTTTCGAACGCAAAGCAGGACCCTTTGCGGGGTCAAGAGAAGCCATCTATGCACCCCTCGCGTGCCAGGGCACCGACCTCTTCGATGTGGCCTATTTTGGTCTCGGCACTGCAGAGGCCGAAAAGGATTTTGGTTTGCGACCGCAGCCATGAAGATCCAGTAGAAATTCCTCATGGGTTTGGTGAAGGTGGATAGGTTCAGAAACATGGGATTTTGGTCACCGGCCAAACGCGGGTAAACGTAAGAGACACGGACCTAGCTCCCCCAAGTTTGCGCACGGGGGCCAAGTCGTGGCGCGTTGATGTCGGTTTGCTATTTTCTGTTCATGATTCAGCAATTTGTGGGTGATTGTAGTCCGTTTCAGCCATTGCGGGAAGGCAAGAATCAGGATTTGTCCACCAAGCCCTCATTCTTTGCAACATCATGCTTCAGAAGAGCAAGAGCATTGCCCTATTTCCAGTGCGTCAATCAATTGAGGGCTCACCCCAAGAAGTATGGGAAACATACTTGACCCGACGAGAGTGCTTCCTCCATGTTCGCATCAGCCTTGTCAAGGGATGTTGTTGCAGAGCCGCTGTGCACCGGAGGCGAAGACCACCGACCCCCAGCAGCGTATGCTGCTGACTGCGGCGTATGAGGCTTTGCGAGGAGATGGCACTGCCGGCTCGAATTGGCACCTTTCTTGCGTTCCATGGAATCCCCTTTCTTTAGGACGTATCTCTTGTTAGAGATGGCCTTGCTGCCTTTGTTTGAAAAAAGGCACCCTTTTCGAGCTTTGTTTGGTTGAAGGGAAACTGGACAACTTGTTATTTTCGAGGTCTCTTTATTGAGACAAGCCCAATTCGAGGGAGAGCGGACAGGCCCAGCTCAAAAGTGAGCATGCCTCCAAGAGGGTGATTTCATGCTGGTTGATTTGCTTTGAACTCTCCAACTTTGGCACATCCCCTGCGTGCTATGATAGGGGGTTACGCGGAATGGCGGCCGTCATTTCTGCAACCTATGACCAGCGTGCACAGAGGAGTTCTGATCACAGCTCTTTTGGCTCCGCTCCGTTTCTTCAACACTGTCCAGAAGGGGGGCCCCTCCATTCAACACAATTCCGTGTAAACCCTTGTCCAACGCATCAGCCATTGCAAGGATATTTCCACTGAGGGCCCCATTTCAGTTTTGAAGTGGCGTGTATGGGGATCTCAGTGAGGCCTTTGTTAGCCCGGCTGAACTCAGTTCAAGCAGGCAAGCCGAAGGCTCGGGGGTTTTGCGCCTGCACATGCCAGGCTATGACAAGGCTCTGCTCCTGAACAACCCATTGGCATCTCGGCAGAAAAGGGATGGATGCTTCCTGGTGCTTGGTGTCGGTGTTCCTGTACCATAATGTTTTGCCAATCTGCCCCAAAAGCAGCTGACGAGCCCATCTTTTTCGCATCAGCTTTGGTCTCGAGGGGGTCTTCACGGCCCTGAGCAACACGGACTGGTACCAGCTGGTGGTCCCAGATGCAGGCGTCTACACTGGCCCTGGCGTGTCCAGCGCCATCGCGGCGAACCGCATCAGTTTCTGGGCCGAGGTTTCCTTTGGTTTGGACTTTCTCATTCTGAGGGAAGCGTACATGGTCTTGGGAATGATAAGGACACTCCCCCCCCCAGAGAACCAGCATGTGGCGTCTAGGATTTCCAAACATGTTTTGCATTCGAGGTTCACAAATGGTCCAGAGTCACAGATATTTCTTTTGGGGGGCAGAAGCTGAGGTGTGGGGTGAGCGCAGCAGGGGGTTGTTTTACAGGGATGAATCGTCTATCCATTGGACCTATCGCTAGCTGAAAACCTGAATCAGCTGGTCGATCAAAGGGAGATGGACAGTGCGGCCGAAAGTTACGGCTGCATGATTTTGCAACTGGCAACAGTGCAATGATTCATCCTTATGCCAAGTGATCCCTGTTTGCCTTTTTGGTACCGGCGCCCAAGTCCGGATATCATCCCATGCGGAAAAACCCAAACTACCGGACGTGGCAATGGAGCTTACAGTACTACCAAGGGCTTCTGTGGTGGATCTCAACGGATTTGGTCAATCAAGCAGCATGTCGTGGGGATTACGGAGTGTTCCTATGGGCGCTTGCAAATTGGGATGCTATTTTGTGGACACCTTTAAGGTGACATATGGCCAAGACCTGTTTTGACAACCACCCCTATGAAGCACAGGCAGCTTCCCGGATGATGACAGGCTGATAGGTTTTTCTTCCAGGTGTTTCTCAGTGGCATTGTAAAAGGATTGGCCAGTCAGGCATGGCACTCCAAGTACTGCAACTGCTTGGATGCTCCAATAATTTGACAAACTTTGGGATGAGGGAACACTTTGTAGTTGACCAGGCTTTGGCGGTGTGATGCGAATGGCTCACTTGCAATTGGGGAGCCGTGCAATACCCCTTTGCGGGATTTTCCCTGGGCCCAACAAGCGGGTGCCCTGTTGCTCTCCCGGCGAGTGAGCTGAAAAACCCGAGCCCCATCGGAAGCCAGTTGACTTGTAAATACTAGGTGTATTTTGATTTAAGGGTGCCCCATGTAACATGGTGGGGATCATCACTTTCCTCGAGAACATACATTCCGATTAGGAGGATTGCATTGAACTGGGGTTCAGTTCACTACGACTACCAATGGGTTCAAATTACCCATTCTCCTTTTGAGGAGGAGGTTATCACAAGGAACCAACCGCTCATGCCTAGCCTGTTCAGTTGTGCTGGCTCAGGCTACGTCTTCGGGCTGAAGGGGCCGAGTATGACAGTGCCCTTGGCGGCACACAGGTCTTCGGGCTCAGCCCGAGCCCGTAATTGAGTCGAACTGGGCACCCAACTTGTGCCATTCCTTTGGGCCTTCCGGCCTGAAAAACTCTCTGGAGCTCCATGGGATCAGAGGTGTCCTTGGGAATTCGTCGCACTTTCGCAGATCGACACGGCCTGCTCTTCTTCGCTCTCGGCGCTGCATGCAGCGCTGCGGTCCCTGGAGGCCCGAGAGACATTTCCAGGGACCTTCGACTGGGGTCCAAGACGTCTCGTTTCGGGTGACGTGAGTTTCGTTTGGGGCGATAGCTTTGCCGGCCACATAAAAAAATAAACAAAATAAACAAAAAAAAAACACCATATAGGAGAAACAGTGGGCGGCAGGACCAACGTGCCTTGTGGCTTTGGTACATTCCCTGAGAAGCAGGGGCAGGGGGAGGGACATGGATCCCAACTTTCCTCTTCGAGCCTTCCGCTGGCTCGGTTCCTGGGTGAATGCCAGGGGTCCCTACATCTCCTCGTTGACGTCTGGAAGTAGCAGAAGTAACACCGTGCTGGATTTGGGGAAGCCAGGAATCCCTGCCAAGATGGACTCCGCTGAAGGGCAGGAACCCTCCCTTCCCAAAAAGGAGGTTCCAGCCAGAGCTTGCTTTTTCCTCAAGGAACCCACAGAACGTACGGGCCACAAATTTATGCTTGACCCCCTGAGGTTGTTTCCACTACGTTCGAGGAACTGAGAAGAGACAAGTGGAAAACAAGGTGGTTCTTTTCGGGGATTTTCATCCGAAGTGGGCATTCTCCAGGTGCCACCCGCGAATAGAAACCACCCACCAGGCGAGGCGTGGCATCAGCACCGCCTCCCGGGGCGCGCTGCTCTCCGCCGCAGAGGCCAGGGGTAAGGCGTCCCTGCAAGGACCCGAGTCGGGGCAGAAATGATGGCTTTTCTCCCAACCTCTTTTGTCGACATGAGTTGATGTTGTGTTTATGGTTTACGGGTTCAACGTAGGGTTTCTCAAGACCATTCCTCAACTGGTGCAGAATACTGATGTTGCCGGTTGTATTCCTGTTCATGGCTGCTGGAGTTCATACTGTTTTGTGGGGTTGTGATGCCGTTGTGATTGAATACCAAGTGTTGTGTACCTTTTTCCCTTGGTCCCCAAAAAGGCCAGGTTGGGGCGCGATGATCCCTTGGTGAGGTCTATTATATAGTTTAGATGCATGGGGATGGACCCGACCGAAACCTTGCAAACAGTTGTGGCGGCTGCTACAGCCCTTGTCTTTTTTAGGCATTTTCCATGTTAGCGGGGGCCTGTAACGGAGCGGGAGCCTGTAACGGACCTCTACCCAAAATCATGAAAGGACTTTTTGGACGAGACTGTGCCCTATTCAAATTCAATCACTGAGTAGGATTGCTGCTCAATAGGGGACCCCTTTAATGGGCACCGTTTGGGTGGGGATGCCACCACTTAGGAGGTAGGTCCGTGAAATTCCTAGCCATTTGTTTCTCCTTCTCAGGTGTTGCATGGGCCCAGCAGCTTCGTGCTGCGCTCGGTGGCCGGCATGCTGTCGCCGGACGGGCGCTGCAAGACTTTCGACGCCACGGCGGATGGCCAATCGCCGGCAGTTCGTGGGTAAGGTTTTGAGATTGGGAGGTTCGATCAAACTGATCTATGTGAATGCGCCAGAGGGGGACTATCGACAATTTTTGCAACATATCCACGTGTCGATCAAGGCAAATTGGAATTCACGCCCCCCTTCCCCCTGGAATCCTCCAAAAGGTCCCCCAAACCAGATGGACGACGCAGTCAACAAAACCGGAGAACGAGTTGGACCCCTCAGCCGCTCAGGCTACATCCGTGGCGAGGGCGCAGGGGCGGCGCTGCTGAAGCCGGCGGAGAGCGCGGAGGAGGCCCGGTGCCAGCGAGTGGCCGAGGCGCGCGCCGCGCGCGGGAGGGGGCCATCCGGAGGAGGGCTGTTGAGCCGGTCTTGGGAGGGGGGGGGAGGAAGTGTTGTTCTGGTGTCTGGCGTCAGACCTGCGAAAGTCCGGAAAAAGCTGGGTTGTTGGGAAGACAAAACAGGGGGTGGAGTCCCTTGTGTTTTCCCCGCCGTGGTTCTCCTTGAAAGTGGTGGAGGAGGATTCCCAGAATTCCACAAATAATCGAGTGTATTGCAAATAATTATCATTGGCAAAATATGCCCAGGATCTTTGGCGAATCATTCCATTCATTCATTCCGTTTGTGGAACAATTCAGATGTTTCAGCGGTACAATATGTACATACATATATTTATATATATATATATATACACATATACATGCATATATATATATATATATATATGTATAGAGTAGACAACAACTCATGATTTGGTGTTCGATGCTTGTTTTGCACGATTAAAACACACATTTCAGGTGAGCTCCTTTTGGTAGGGTGATGTTTACTGGGCCCAGACAAGAAGCGGAGAAGGCCCAAAGAAACAGCCGTGTGAATTGTAGAGACCTTGACAGGGACCAGGGTGAACCAAGCGGGATGACCCTTGCATGATGTCTGCCCAGATGCGACTTTGCAGAACACCCCCTCATGTGCAGATTCAGAATGGGGAGAACCATGGTACCTGTATGGCAGGTAGAAATCAAACAAGCCTGTGGACACATGGCATAGGTCATGATTGGGATGCTTTCCTTTGTTAGCTTGAAGAAAGGGCAACAGAGAGGAAATCAATCATTTTGGAGTGGGCCTGAGTTTGACACATTTGTCTATGAGAGTTGCAACACATCGGGCCAGCCATGTGGGAGGTTTCCCCACTTCTGACTCGATCTTTGGGACAGTTTGTCCGTGTTCGAAAAAAAGAAGCCGGCAAGCTACATCGCACCCGGCAGGTTCGGGCTGTGGCCACTTGGCAGAAAGGCGCCACGAATCTGCCTGGCTTCTGTGACTGGGCAAGCCGGTTTCACACTGGTTTCTCATCAGCCGGCCCCAGCAAGGCCAAATACCCTGAAGCAAACACACCGCTCGTTCTTTCCAGTTGGTTTGTCGGCATATGGAAAGAAGGATGCCTGGAGTATCTCTCGACTTGTGCCCGGCTGCCCCGAGGTCATGAACCAGGACGGCAAGAGTGCGACGCTCACCGCCCCCAACGGTGCCTGGCTGAAACAGAGAAGCGCCCGCCTCCTCCGGTAACGCACGAATCAATCCTGAGTCCTTATGCCAGATGCACTTTTTTTCAGGATCGTTTGAAGGGAAGCCACCAGGAAGAAACACCATTTTGTGGGTCTCCCGATTTTGACACGAACCGACATGGCATCGAATTTCAATGGAGAACCGCCTCCAAAGTGGGTGGTGGACATGATTTTGCACCGACCTTTGATGCCCTCCAATCTGGTGTTAAGAAGGGAATGGACTTCCGGGCTTTGGGAAAGACCGTCTGGGGATTCCCCCTACCGGAATCCAATTCGGGGATGGGCCTTGGTTCCCTTGCTCCTTCCCTGGCTGTATCCGACCAAGTCGTGAACTTCGCAGCGGGAACATAGGTGTCCTTTGGTTAAAAATAGAAGGCACTGGTGTAGATGGGTTTTATTCCATTTACCAGGGCCACCTATGTTTCCAAAAGAACACCTCTTCCCCAGAATTAGTTCCCCTTTTCAATTTTTGCTTTTTTGGGGTTCCTTTGTTTTCCACTCACCAAGCATTTGTTTTTGCCTGGGGTCCAAAAACCCAGCCTCGACCTATGGGTGGGTCCCACCGGAGACTGAGGTCCCAGCCAGGAGGAGCTGCTGGTGCTCGCGCTGCGGGAGGCCCAGCTCTCCCCGGCTACGCTGGGGGCCTTGGAGTGCCCGGGGCCCAGAGCGAGCGAGCGAGCCGCGCTTCGAGTGTGGCGTCTGGTTGTGCCGCCGAGGTTTTGGGGCCGGACGAAAAAGCGTTGTTTTTCTTCTTTTTTCTTCTTATTTTTCTGTTTTTTCCCCTTCTGCTTTGTTTTGTTCCTTTTTGTTAACCATTTTCTTTTTAGAGTAGGGGAACCGGTGTCTTTGTTTACCAGCCCCGGCGAAAGCTAGACAAAACAAGTTGTTTTTCTTCTTTGGGGGGTTCGGGGCTTTCGTACAAGGGCCGACTTGTCGATTTCAGAACGCCAATGATGTTTGCCTTACTCCCAGAGGGCTTGAAAAGAGATCGATCGATCGACCCATGTGCTCCCTGAGGCCACGGCACCGGCACCGCGCTGGGCGATCCCATTGAGGTGGGCGCCATTAAGGGCGCGCTGGGGCGCCTTGGCTTTGAGCCCACGTCGGGTAGGTTCGAACACCACGGAGTTCGTTCGCTTTTTTACAAGTGGGTTGGCGGTGCTCTGTCATTCTGGCGAGGCGAGCAGATCAAGGCAGCCCTCAGCTGCTCCTGGCGGTGCCTGGGCTCAACGAACATTTTGAGGGGCTTGCAAGAATCGCTGTGTCACCAAGGGCGTTTCACCATTTTAGAGGGTGTATTTGAGGATGTCACGTCAATGAATCCAGTGGGTGGCTTGTGTTTTCGCAGACGAAGCCTGAGGCTGGCAAGTCCAACCACGGACACTTGGAGGGAGCCGCAGGCGGGTCCCGGAGTCCCGGAGTCCCGGGAAGGAAAGGATTCCGGATTTGACACATGCCCCTCCGTGCCATGGACACCCTGGAGTCTATTTTGCAACTAGGAACCCCGAAAAACAATACCCTAAGAGAAGGAGGTTGTCAAAATAGACCCAAGTGTCCACCGAACCCCCCCCCCCAAAGTGAGGCCCAGTTTCTGTTTGGTTTCAGTGTGAAGCACACCCCAACAGGGCTCCAACTAGCAACTCCAAAAGACATATGTATATATATATATATATGTATATACACACACACACACCCCTGTTCTGTTTCTTCTCTTTCCGATGTTTTCCCGTTGACTTCCGCGCTCGGCATGTGCAAGGCTTCGCCGGTCTGATGAAGGCGCCGGTCTGATGTCGCGGGGAGGGTTGTGTTTTGGAGGGCAACATGATGAGCGGTGGGCTGGCCGCGCTTTTGGCCAATGTTTCTGGCTCATCCGGCAACCTTCCATGGAACCCAGCGGAGGGTCCCTTTCAATGGCGGGTGGGAGAACCCTTTGATACGTTGATATGGGTATGGTCAAAATGGGGTGGGGGGCCCTCAAAATTCTGGTTTTCCTTTTGGTTTCCGTTTAACACCCGCAAAGCGGTTCCCTGAACATGTACACACCCATATCCGTTCTTGGTGGTGGGGATGGAAGAACTGGGGCTGGAGACTGTTCTTTGCTCTGGAGTACTATAAACCCAAAGGACAACCTGACCCGAGGGACTTGCGCATGAGGGGTCCTCTTACTTTTGCTGATGGTTTACCACCATTCGGGTGGCTTCGAAGATGCCGCGGAAACATGGACGGCGTGCAAGAAATATGGGGTACACTCACCAAATGGCCGCGAGGAAAAATCTGGGCTCACCAATTTCACATGTCAGCTGCCCACACGAATAGATCTCATGCAATCTGAATCATTGGAGGTTGCTGCCTGCCTGCAACGACACGAAGTGCCACCCAACGTCCACTTCCAGGAGAGGGGCGCTCGGCTGGACACATGGGGTTCTGGAAATCCAAGGATTTCAATGGAATTCAGTTTTCCAAGTTTGACTTACCGTGTGCTAGCAAAGTGAGTTTTGGGTAGAGGCAAAGCGCTGGAGAGGGTTGATTGTTCAAGCCATGGATGGTTCACTCCCCAATTCAATCAAGCCATCTATTAATTTTGGGGGTGCCTCCTTTGAGGTGGACATCCAGTTGCTCATCAAGGGTTCCACTTAAGCTTTGCAACCATGGTGCAAGGCGCGTGCAAGCGGGGTGCTTGCCTTGTCCCACGCTTGGCTTCCCAAGGCCAGTTTCGCGGTGGGGCCCCGTGAATTTGAGAAGAGTCCTAAGCCGCAGATTTGAGCGCCTCTCCGAGAACGCGTCTTGGCATGTCTTGCATGTATTGTTTGCTCTGCGGCCCCTTTATACCGTTGTTTATCGTGTTCTGCTTTCTTTCTGGACATCAAAACTGAATCTTGCATTGAACAACCGCTTCCTCCAGACTTGTCCTTCCAATTTTTTTCTTGGAAGTTTCAAAAAGGCTTGCCCGAAGACCTAACCTTCAGACAACCAAACCCTGACCAGGATCCTTCTCAGATTCCTCCTTTCTTCAGAGCATCCCCCCCCGGCCAGGAGCTGAATCCCCACATCTCCCTGGACTCCTCCCGTCTCTCGGTGCCCACCTCCGTGTGCGCGCTGGGGCACGCGGAGGGCCAGGCGCCGATGCGACCGATGCGACCGCGAGTCCGAGTCGGAGTCGGAGTCGGGACCAAAAGGATTTTCGAGCCGAACCGAACGGGGGTGTTTCGGTGTGTTTCTTTGTTGTTTCCCGTGGCTGAAAAAAACATCCTTGTGGGTGCTAAAGGCTTTTTCCGCTGTAAGGATTTTTTGGGTTGGAGGCAACCC